TTCTCAAACACAGACATTTAAGGTTTTGCAGTAAGACAGTGAGTCACTGTGTTGTTTCCTACAGTATTTAAAATGCATGCCAAGGTTTCAGGAATTATCTTTGAAAAAATTCTAAAAGTCACCAACAACAGAAAAAGAGTAAGCGAATACTGGGGGTGCATGGGAGTTAGGAGCCACACTGGCATGGTGACAGCAAGAAACAAATAGGTGTTAGAAGTGCTTGAGGCAATGCAGGGCAATCTTTGAGCAAATGAAGCAGGCGAGGCCAAGAAGATGTTTGTGGACAAAACTCAATTGAGAGATCTTAGAACAGAGAAGACTGATGGGGTTAAGCATTGAAGTACAGTCTGGGTACTTTGGATGAATGAATGGTAGGATTGAGGATACAGAGGAGTAAACTGCAGAGGAAGAACCAGAAGATTGGTTCTGGTAAAAAATGCAAATTTAACAACCCATTTCAAATACCAATTTAAAATAACACTTGCATGTGCAGCAAAAGGTGAAAACAGGACCACTCTATTAATGTATACATGCCACTGACATCCATTGCTTTCTACATTCCTCACTGCTGTTTCTTGTGCCAGTGAACCTGCATTAGGCAAAATTTCTTTCAAAGATACCTGCTGGGTTTTTAGTAATTCCATCACATCAGGTGACGCTAATCACTTACTCAACACTTAGTCTCACTAAACTGTGTAATTTTTAAATAGTCAAATAGTATTCAGTTTTTAAAGTCAGAAATGAAAGCTAAATTATTAACAGATTTTTCTACTGGTCTTAGCCTGTATAAAACTGGAATGATCTCTTTTTCAAAGCAGACATAGGTTCAGCTAAAACTATCACATGAATCACCTATTAAAGTCCATTTCTAAGTTTTTAAGATTCTCTCTACATCAGATCTCTATTATATGGTCCTCCCTATCCATCCACACCACTTCTCTGTGTTTTCATCTTTCATCCTAACTCTCAGAACATTGTTTTCTTTGGTCTTGGGAAGTGCCTTTTATTAACTGCAGGTTTTTACAGACTATCTCTTTCCCACATCTGACTTTTGTACCAAGAAGTTGTGTCCTGTCTCTCACCAGCTGAATAGAATTTTTTACAGACACTAGTTGAACTTTCAGAAAAGCATGTAATTTTCTTTCATTGTCCTCTTTGTCCAGCCTTAGAGGTGTTTAAGAGGTGTCTGGACCTGGCACCAGTTTAGTGGTTTAGGGGCTACAGTGGCAGTTCTGCATTCTGGACTTGATTTTACAGGCCTCTTCCAACCTTGATTATTCTACAATTCTATGATTCTTATTTGCTTTTACTGTTTCCTTCACTTTCTTCCCCAGGTCTCCTAAACATCCACAGAAGTGTATCATGTTTCTACTTCAAACCCTGCTTAAATGGTGATCTCTTTTTGTGATGAAATTGGATAATGGTAAGTTTCCTGATATACTGAGACTTCTGCCTATCATACTTCTCAGAATGGTTCTCCTCCATGTGTGTGTGTCTATCATCTCCCATTTTATATTTAAACTTTTCTGCATTTGTATTCTGCTTATGCATTGAGCCTAATTCAACAGGATTCTAATTCATGTATAGACCTTTCAGACTAGCAACAATCATAATACATGCATGTTGACCATCTGTATGCTTGGCTCTCTCCCTCTCTCCAACCTCCAGAGCCAGTCTAGCAGCCAAGAAGAGCTGAAGTGCCACAGCAGTTCTAATTAGTCTTATGCAAAGAAGGACATTTCATCTTGGTTCTGCATTCTGGAAAGATCTCCCCCAAGTCAGAGCTGTCTTGATGGCTGGTGCCCTGGCTTTACAAATCTTCACAAAAATTTGAAGGGTAGGAATTCATTTCATGTGAAACAAAGGTGTGTGGAGCAGCTGCATGCTGTGGAAGGTAACTGAGCTGTGAGAGAGGAATCTGTTTCTTACTTCACGTCTTACGCTTCTTTTTCTGTGGACAGAACAAATTTGTTCTGTGCATTAAAAGCTCCATGTGACTAAATTTTCAAGCATGGCAGTGTGGCAGTGGGTTTAGTGTGGCAATCTCCGGGAACAATGAGGGCTGTTCACTCTGTGAGGGACGGTGAGGACAATGCCACAGCAGGTGGAGCTGAGGCTGACCAAGAAGCAGCAGGATGTGGAGAAGCACATTGGGTTCATGAGAAGGAGAGAGACAGTGATGGTGCAGTGCTTGCACAGCAAGTCTGGAGTGATGAGGCATGTCTGAGAGCAAGCCAGGAAGCCCAGCCAGCAGATCTGAGTCAGGATCTGAGCCAGGATTGAGGAGATAGGAGGCCAGGTGTAGATGTAGCTGCTGCCTGGCTGCGATGTAGCACTGGTGAGGGCCAGCGCTGGCCTTGGGCTTTTGCATGATATCAGCTAAGGCTAGAGATGGTCTTAAAAAGGCACAGCTATGAATATCAGGTACAGGAATAAACCTTTACAAACTACATTTGTCTAACACCTGGGTTTGAGCAGCCATGTAGAACAACTACAGATTGTTTCAACTTTCTGCCTTTTTTTGCCAGAAATGTCACTTGCTTCAGAAGAGGGAAGACTGGAAATTGTATAGATGCTGTGGCCTGTAATGCTTTGTCTTTACCATAGATAGCAAGTGTCCCTCCTCTCAGGTCTCTTACATTCCCTAACATTAGCAAATAGGAAGAAAGACTGCTCGAACTACGCCATGTGGATTGCAGACTTCAGAGCAGCAGGAGAAGTAGAAATTGTTGTTGCTGTTGTTATTGTAGTTGTTGTGACACAGATGTTCTTGGTTTAAACTGATATGGGTTGGAGAAATACTGATAATACATTACGGAAACTACATAATTTCTTAATAATTTATTAATAAAAAGCACTGTTTGATCATGCAAAGCCTTCCCTCCCTAATGGGCTGTGATGTCTATAAAGTTGACAACAGTTGACTTATTAGTATGCAAAGATCTCTTCTTGGCATATTGGCTGTTCTTGTGATCTCGTCATTCTCTATCCTCTTTTGTTTCATAGGTCTGCATTAACACTTGCTGGACTACCTTTTGTAATCTATCTGTGTATCACTCAGGCTAATAGAACCTGTGAGTGGGACTTCTGTGTGCTATGGTAACATAATTTATGTTCATTGTCTATCATAAGAGATGATAATAATAGGGACATCAAAACTAAATTATAAAATTAAAATGCATATGTACAGTATCATGACTTTGCTGTCTCATAATTATTAATGCATGATGTTCACACTTGTGAGTTGTAATGGTATTTGTTATGTGCTGCCAAGTAGTAATGATATTTTTTTCAATCTGTCTGTAAGTATTAATTATTGTGAGTTGTTAAATTTGCACATAAAGTCAGCTTACAGTTATCTGCAGGCAGATTGTTCGTGTCACAGATTAATTGCACCACAGATGCAGGCACAGCTTGGGTTCACCAGGTTTTATTAGCTCCATCTCATTCTGTCAGACCTGTGGTGGCTGCATGAGTATTGCTTGCATGTCTTTGCAATGTGCTTGCCAAAGCTGCTCCCTGTTACTTTATTTATTTGCTTGTGTGCTAAGCTAATTTACAGATTTGCTGCCCACTGTGCCCTGGAACTCAGCAGCCCACAACACAGGTAGTTGTGCAGCTACAGTACAGCCCACGATTTCACAAAATAGGAGGTTTGGTCACATTTTGCTGGAATGATTCCTGGGCTTAAAAGCCCTTCAAAACCAGACTGATATTTTAATGTGTTGTCAAATGACAGCCTGTGTGTTCAAGAGGGATGGGGCTAGCTGGTGTTAGGAAACTGGTGAACTGCCCCAAGAACAGCATGAGTGGCTGCTAAGTTTAAGAACAGCAGGACAAACCAGCCTAGCACTATGGCACAAAGCTGTTCCTGTGTCTGCTCTGTGTCCTGAGAGAAGGATGTTCCTCAAGAGGCTGTAGAGCCAGCTCATGTGGTTCATGTAGCACAGGTGTCTGCTGAACACCCTTTCAGCCTGGGATCAGTTGCTTTTTCCTCACTTGCTACAGAAAGCAAAGGTCCTGCACTTGGGTCACAACACTCCCATGCAGCTCCAGAGGCTGGGGCAAGAGTGGCTGGAAAGCTGCCTAGTGGAGAAGGTGCTGGAGGTGCTGGCTGACAGCATCTGAACGTGAGCCAGCAGGTCCCCAGGCGGCCCAAAAGGCCGATGGCACCTGGGCATCAGCAACAGTGTGGCAGTGATCACTGCCTGCCCTGCGCTTGGCACTGGTGTGGCCACACCTCGAGTCCTGTGTCCCCTCTGGGCCCCGCTGTCCCTACAATGACACTGAGGGGCTGGGATGGCTCCAGAGGAGGGCAGCGGAGCTGGGGAAGGGTCTGGAGCACAAGTCCTGTGAGGAGCAGCTGAGGGAAATGCGTTTGGTCAGTCTGGAGAAAAGGCGGCTCAGGGAGACTTTGTTGCTCTCTACAACAGCCTCAAAGGAGGCTGCAGTGATGGTTCTCTTCTCCTGGGATGCAAGTGACAAGACAAAACAGCCTCAAGCTGCACCGAGGATGTTTACATTGGGTATTAGGTAAATTTCTTCACCAAGAGGGTGGTTAGGCATTAGAACAGGCTGCCCAGGGAAGCAATAGAATCGCCTTTCCTGGGGGTATTTAAAAGATGTGTAAATGTGAACATGGTTTAGTGGTGGAAGTGGCAGTGCAGGCTTAACGGTTGGACTGAATGATATCCAAGACCTTTTCCAACCTAAACAATTCCATAATTCATCTAGCTTTAGCTAAGAGCTCTATTTTCTAAGCACTAAATACATGTTTTTTCTGTGTTTATTCACACACGTGGACGCGATTTTGCCCTCCCTGCCCGGTGGTACCGGCAGGAGGTGCGGGCCCGGCCCGGCCCGGGGCTGCCCGCTGCCCGCAGGGGGCGCTGCCGAGGCTGCTCCGCCGCCGCCATTTCCCCGGGCTCCGGCGAGCGGCCCTTTCCGGCAGTGGGCGGGACGGGCACGGCCCCGGCAGCCCGCGGCAGGCGAGCCCGGCCATGCAGGCGGAGCGGGGCGGCAGCAGGCCCCGCAGGGAAGGGGCCCGACACGGCCGGCGGCGCCCCTGCGGCACGCCCGACGCGGCGAAGGAAGGAGGCGGCGGGGACGCCCACGGGCGCGGAGGAGGCGGGGGCCGGGGAAGAGGCGGCGCTTACGGGCACCGAGGAGGCGGGGGACGGGGCAGGCGAGAGCCCCGAGGTCGCGGGGCAGCGCCATCGCCCAGCGCCCAGCAGCACCGGCGGGTAAGCGGGAGGAGAGCCCGCCCTCCGCGGCAGCAGGGGGAGGCGGAGCTGAGTGTGCGGGGCCCCGGGGCGGCCCTTGGGCTAGGGGCACAACCCTCCCTTCCCCTCCCCTGCCCTGCTCCTCCCCTTCCCGAGGTGGAGCCACGCTGGCAGCTGTGCCCCAGCCTGCCGGGTGGGCTGGGAGTGCCGGCGGTGCTGCTCGGGACAGCTCGGCATCTGCAGTATCCCTGTGCTGTATTCCTGCTCTGGGGCAGCTCAGCCTGCGCGCTCTGGTGCAGCATGACACAGGGCTTGTCTTGCCAAAATACGTGAATAACTTTGCGCTGAAAAGATAAAAGTCTTGTTTAAAAAATGCGTCTGAAAAAATGCCTCCTCAGTTTGCAAATTGAGATGAAGAATTGTTGAGCAGTTTTGGCACATTTGAGATGTTTTAATAGTTGGACTCGAACGATCTTAGAGATCTTTTCCAGCCTTGAGGGTTCTATGATCAGAAGTTGAAATGAGCGTCCTGTCCAGCCTGTGGTACTCGCAGTGAAGACATGGTAACAGAGCACATCTTACATAGTGGGTATCTGTGATTCACTGGGTTTCATTTGTCATTAATAGAAGTTGATAGCTGTGCACCAGCCCATTTTAAAATGCTTTAGCAGATTAAAAGTAGTGCAGACATACCATTGTGTACCACAATTACATAGGCAATTTCCTGTGGAGGCATTATCTGCCTCACCATGGTATGAGATCAACACCGTGCCTTTAAAAAGAGTCCCCATAAAAAATGCTTTGACTACTTCATTCAGATTGTTTTGCTTCTGTTAGCATTGTTGCAACATGGAAATCATGTCCCTGGATTGGCAAAGAGATTATAATGATGACCTAATGCTAATTGGTGTTGGCAGCACTGGGAGTCCTAATGTAGATGGACCAGATGCTACCCCAATTCCAGCATCATGTTGATTAGATTCACTTTGACTTTTATGATCCATGGTTTCAATTGAACCCACCCAGTGTTTTATCTGTATTAGAACTCCCATGCTTGCTAGTGGATATAAAAATATAAAATATTAATTTTGTCATTGTATTTAGTCTTATTTTGGGAGATGAAAGTTACAACTCGATTGGTACAGTTACTTAGAATGCTGGTCAGTGCTTTCACATGAAAGCAATATAAATTGCTGAATTCACACTGATGTTTGGGGACAGGTTTGGATCCTGGATGTAAAACAACAGTGTTCCCTCATAAATTGCAGGAGCATGCGGGGGTAATTCAGCACCTCTGTGTATTGGCTGCGGAAATTTCTATCCTGGACTGATTTTTTCCCAAGTCATTCAACTCTGCAATTTAAAACGTTTCTTTTGGGTCAAAAATATGTTTTGCCACTGCTCACTTTGTTATTGACTTGGATATGCTCTTTATCTTAGCCTAGCACATAATAGCCAAGGCTATTATGATTTGGGACTTTAAAAGTGAAGCAATAGCTAAGATTTTCTGAGAACACTGCTAAAGATTGTTGTGTAATGTAACGTTCTTCCTCCACTGGAGGTTTTTGACGTTAAGCACTATATGGTCTCTTAGTGCACCTGCCACAAATTTTGTGTTTAGCAGCTTGCTTGGGATTGGCTCCCAGCAATCCAGCCACAGCATCAGCAGCTGTGCCAGCCTGCAGCTGCTGAATTTTAGTGCTACCTCTGAGCCAATCTCATAATTCACCACTTCTGGAGCAGAGAGAGCCTCCTCCTTCCATCAGTGTAGCCAGTGTTTATCTGACAGAGAGTTGCCCCCTTTTAATCCCAGCTCCTTAGTGTTCTCTGTGTTCAGCAGAGTGACTTGTATTACAAGAGTGCACCCCTTCAGTGATAGGATGCTTGGCCCAGAGTAAGCAGTTTGTGTGAGACAAGACCCTGCTGTCTTTCAGCAATAGGGGGTAAATCTTCTGAAGTGGTGGTGTGTGAGCTGCAAAACTGGGAAGTCAGGTAATAAGGCAGGGAGTGTGATGGTTGTACCACATTCCCTTTCTTTACTGTCTGCTGAGATGCTGGGGTCTTCTCAGAAAAAACTTTTTTTTTTCTTTTTTTTTTTTTACAGTGAAGTAGAAGTTGACATTAAATTGCATAATGTTTTGTCAGCAATATATCTTTGTCAATTGCATTCACGTAAAAGCACTGTCTTAAAATGTTGTGTTTTGGATGTTTTAATTTAATGGCTCCTAAGCTTGCATTTGAAGCTACAGGAAGGCATTATTTGTGACCTGTACAAGAGGGATAAGAAAGTATCGTGGTGGCACATTCAGTTTGCAGTTTTGTGGAGCATGAGAAGACTGGGCACTGTGTGCTTTACACTGCTGCTGGAGTCCTGTAATTCTTTGGTTTTAGTCGTGGGTGATCAGCTGTGTTATTTGCAAAGCTGGGAAGACCCAGAAATTGCTAAGTCAGTTCTCCCCTCCTCAGCTATATGCTAAGGGAGAAGGAGATCAGGTGTTGTGTTTGTATCCATGCCCTGCATGGTAGATCCAGCTGTGGATCAGAATCTTAGAGAAGAAAGCTTTGTGATTTCTGTCAGCTCTTGAGAAGGTGGTTCTCTGAGTAAATTCCCAGCTCCACTTTTGAAACAAGATGCTGCCTCTCTTAAATATGAAATTGATTTAGAAACCATGAGAAAAAGTGTTCTTATTCCTTTTGAAGAGGGAAAAGGATCTTCCACTTGTTATGTCTTTTTGTAACTAGTGTGCATGTTGATTTAACTGGCTTGATTACTGAAGAGTTTGTGTCCTCCCTTCAAAAATGAATGTCTAATTAAGACCAGCTGGTTTACCAAATGGCAGATTTCTTTGTAGTTCTGTCATCTTGAATATTTTTCCATTGTTTCAGTCTGCTTTAGCTCATCTATGCTACATTAAATAAATAAAACACATTTGAGATTACTCAATTTTAGTAAAATGTGGCATTTTAATGCTTAAAGTAAATTGACATTGGTCCAATATTATCTCGCACTTTTAGTTTAACTCAGAATTCATGTTTTATGTATTGCCAGAATTTAAAAATTGCTCTCTTTAAGAGATACCATATATTAAAATAGAAACAACTTTCTGAAATTGTGGATATGAGGCTGGGTTTTATTTTGATGGTCCTTGACCACATTTTTTGAGCGTTGGTAGTAGTTTAAGGAGATTTTCTTTTGTCCTTTAGGTTTATTACATTTGCAATTTATGAGGTATTCTTTTAACTTTCCATTCAATGATACACTGAGTGTGCCTGTGATACATGCTGCTACTCCAGTGCAGTTGGAATTGGCAGGTCTGTTTCAATGTTCCTTTTTTGGCTTTGGGCAGTGTTGCAGTAAACATTTTATTGTTCACAAATGGATGTTAACAGATGGATTTTAGTGCAGTCTTTCTCATGTGTGGTTAGTTTCAAGATGCATCACATTAATTTAGTATCTTTTGTATCTTCATTCTTGTAGTCCATGCACATATAGAAGTGATCTAAGAGAACATCTAATGCTGTCAGCATCAGATTAATTTTCCTAATTAGTGTGAGTGAACCGTTTACCATCTAAGCAACTGAAAAAGCAGTTGAGAGGCACAGTAACAAAAGTAACAAATACAGATATATTTGATTGCCTTTAGAACACTGTGACAGAACTTGTGCAGATAGAAGAATAGATTTCTGGATCTTGAAGACAGTAAATGTTCTGACATTTTGTGTTAATGTTCTCAAAAACAACTAGAAAAAACTTATTTAGATTAATGTGCATCAATTTGTGAGCTGTACTTAATTGCTAATGCAGTGTGAAGAGCTTCCCTTCTCAGAAGTTTCTCTACTGTGATGGCTCAGTATCAAACTGGTTTTGTTAAATGGGATTCTGCAAGGCTTCATTCTGTATCTACTCATGTTCAGTTTTCTATTAATAATTCCACCAGGGAATATACAGTGTTGATATTTGCAGACAGTGCTAAACTGGCAGGAGGGTGGAGCACAGAACACAGTCTCAACAAATGGAAGAAACAGCCTGCATTTGGGTGCGATTCAAGGTCATATATACAACCACACTACATCGGAAATATCTGTAGCAGTGTGTGACTGATTAAGGTGCAATTTTATAGAAGAGAACTGTCAGCTTAATGGATGAGAAGGTATCAATTAGTGATGCCAGTACAGTCAAGAACTAGTTCTATTTTTTGCAAGATTGGGACTAGCTGGGGAAAGTTCAGAGGGAAGGAATGAAGAAATATGTAAAGAGGATATCACCGAGGAGGAAAGGCTGAAGAACCTGGTTCTTCCTCTTTTTATATTATTTATGTATTTATTTCAATTTTTTTTTGATCTGGCCAAGAGGACACTTTGGACAGGCCTGGTTAGCAATGTTCCAGAGAGTAGAGAGGTTGCTGCAAAGAGATCCATTTTAGGTAGGACAAGAAGAAAAACATTATTAAGAAGGAAGAGGTTTAACTGGGGCCTTGAGAATAAAATTTGTGACTGAAAGATTAGATAGCTTGTGTAGCAAGTACATGGGAATCAGGACAGAAAAATATTAATAATGAAGGTTACTGAGTCTACTCAGTAGATCTGCTGTGTAACCACTTGTCACAGCCCTATTTATTTTTCTTTTATTTTTTCAAGGCTGTCTGTGCAATGGAAAAGCATAAATGCTTTTTATACACCCAAAGTTAATTTATTCGTTTTGGGTTCTAGACAATAGAAGAACCTGTTTTTTACAGTGGGAGTCCAGAGTTTCATAATAGTCCCTAATTGTTTAGTGTGGCATGGTGTAGTGATATTTATTGTTATTCATTCAGCATATTTTACCAGCTTTCCTGCTGATATAACAAGAGATTTGTATTGAAGCATCCCATTACACAGATGAATATTGTTGCTGCAGAGCAACTTCCTGTCTGACTCTTTTTCTGTAACTTCCTTGGAAAGAGCTTGAGGGTTTTTTTTATATTTTAGATGGCTGTGCATTTCTGTCCTCACCTACTTAAATGCTTTTATTCCTCTTTTCT